CACCTCAACAAAACAGTGTATCAGAAAAGAGAAACAGAACCCTGTTGGACATGGTTCGATCAATGATGAGTTATGCTCAGTTGCCTAACTCGTTTTGGGGTTATGCAGTGGAGACTGCAGTTTATATTTTGAACGTAGTTCCATCAAAGAGTGTTTCTGAAACACCCTTTGAGCTGTGGAAGGGTCGTAAACCTAATTTACGTCACTTTCGCATTTGGGGATGCCCGGCACACGTGCTCATGACTAACCCGAAGAAACTGGAACCTCGTTCAAAAGTATGCCTATTCGTAGGTTACCCCTAAAGAGACGAGAGGTGGTCTCTTCTTCGATCATAAAGAAAACAGAGTGTTTGTATCGACAAATGCTACTTTCTTAGAAGAAGGCCATGTTCGAGATCATAAACCACGAAGTAAGGTAGTAATTAACGAGATTTCCGAAGAGGCTACAAACACGTCAACAAGAGTTGTTGATCAAACTGGCACTACAAAAAGAGTTGTTGATGAAGCCAGCACATCGCGTCAGTCACATCCACCTCAAGTGTTGAGGGTGCCTTGACGTAGTGGGAGGATTGTGTCACAACCTGACCGCTACGTGGGTTTAACTGAAACTCAAGTTGTCATACCTGATGACGGCGTCGAGGATCCATTGACCTATAAGAAAGCAATGGAAGATACTGACAAGGACAAATGGGTCAAAGCAATGGACCTGGAAATGGAGTCGATGTACTTCAATTCTGTTTGGAAACTTGTGGATCAACCTGACGGGGTAAAACCAATAGGGTGCAAATGGATCTACAAGCGAAAACAAGACGCCGAAGGAAAGGTACAAACCTATAAGGCGAGACTTGTAGCAAAAGGCTACACACAAAGGGAAGGGGTGGACTATGAAGAAACCTTCTCCCCTGTAGCTATGCTTAAGTCTATTAGAATACTTCTGTCCATTGCCACATATTATGACTATGAGATATAGCAAATAGACGTCAAGACTACTTTTCTAAATGGCAATCTTGAAGAAAGTATTTATATGTCTCAACCCGAAGGGTTCATAGAACAAGGTCAAGAGCAAAAGGTTTGCAAGCTTAAACGGCCCATATATGGACTCAAACAAGCATCTCGATCTTGGAACATAAGGTTCGATACTGCGATCAAATCTCATGGTTTTGACCAAAACGTTGATGAGCCTTGTGTATACAAGAAAATCGTCAACAACACCGTAGCCTTCTTAGTGTTGTACGTGGATGATATCCTACTCATTGGGAATGATGTAGGATACCTCACTGACATAAAGAAGTGGCTAGCGACTGAGTTCCAAATGAAAGATTTGGAAGAAGCTCAGTATGTTCTTGGCATCCAAATTCTATGGGATCGCAAGAATAGAACGTTAGCCCTGTCTCAAGCAACTTATATCGACAAGATGCTTGTTCGATATTCGATGCAGAATTCCAAGAAAGGTTTGTTACCCTTCAAGCATGGAATTCATCTGTCTAAGGAACAATGTCCTAAGACACCTCAAGAAGTTGAGGATATGAGACGTATACCCTATGCTTCAGCAGTGGGCAGCCTGATGTACGCTATGTTGTGCACTAGGCCTGACATTTGCTATGCGGTAGGGATAATCAGTAGGTACCAATCCAACCCAGGATATGATCACTAGACTGCTGTTAAGGGAATCCTCAAGTATCTTAGGAGAACGAGGGACTACAAGCTCGTGTATGGCGCTAAGGATTTGATCCTTACAGGATATACTGACTCTGACTTCCAAACAGACAAGGATTCAAGGAWATCCACGTCGGGGTCAGTATTCACTCTTAACGGAGGACCGGTAGTTTGGCGAAGCATCAAACAAGGATGTATCGCAGACTCCACCATGGAGGCTGAATATGTTGCGGCTTGTGAAGCAGCAAAAGAAGCGGTTTGGCTTAGAAATTTCTTAATAGATTTGGACGTCATTCCAAACATGAACTTGCCCATCACACTTTATTGTGATAACAGTGGTGTTGTGGCAAATTCTAAAGAACCTCGAAGCCATAAGAGAGGCAAACACATCGAAAGGAAGTACCACCTTATACGGGAGATAGTGCAGCGAGGAGATG